ATATATTATATAGACTCATTACATGCAAAGTGAGATATTTCAAGCCTTTATTTGTTATAATTGTGATGATTATGGCTCACAGCTTATAATTTGGGGTTTTCATAAGCTGTGAACCATAATCATCACAATTATAACAAATAAAGGCTTGAAATATCTCACTTTGCATGTAATGAGTCTATATAATATATTAGTTTCACCTTTTAAGTTGAATTACTGAAATAAATGAACTTTTGCACCATATTCTATTTTTCGAGTTTCACCTGTATAGGGTATGATTCTACCCCAGGTTCAGCATATTGACACAATGATAACTGCGAGTGTTTGATTGGATAAACCATCGTGACCGTAGCAGCGGTACAGTGGAGTAGTAGCTCCTCTTGTACTAGCATCGCGTTTCGAGCATATTGTAATGTGCCTTCGTCCCGAGCTGCGTATTATATTGTCCTGCTGTGCCACAGTGCCAGTCTGAAGTGTGTGTGAACTCCTCGGGGTTTTACCTAAGTGCTTTAATAAAACTGACCACAGAGAAAATGTCTTAATTAAAGTCCTGCTAATTGTCTTGTTGCCCCGGCTCTTCCATTAGCTGTGCTTTAAGCGTGATCTGTGCGGGCAGTAAATCCCCCTGCCGGCCGAGCGCTGGCATCACTCACAGATCTAGCAGCGCCACAGCTTATAAAACTGATATATGACACCAGGTATAATTATTTGTCATAAAAACACAATAAATGTCAGTGTAGCATGTGCGCGGTAAGCTGAAGACGCTTCACGGTCTCCTCAGGTCGTGTGTGGAGTAATTATGATAGAAGATGCCTTCACTTAAACACCTGAAATGTTGTGTGTTGTGATGTGCTGTACTCGATCTAAAACCATTTTAAATGACATTTTGATGTTTTTTATTTTATCATATGATCAGTTAAAATGTGTGTGTGTATATATATATATATATATGTATATGTGTGTGTATGTGTGCATGTATGTGTGTGTATATATATGTGTGTGTGTATATATGTGTATAAATATATATGCACACACACACACACACACAGTGCAGTAGTCAACATCAGTGGATCAAAAAAGTTGCGTCTAAGTTGTGTGTGTGTGTGGTCAGTCTGTCTGTCTGTGGGCGAGTCTCATGAAACATCGCTCTATCCATCTAACGCTCTATCTATCTATCGCTCTATCTATCTATCGCTCCATCCATCTATCGCTCTATCTATCTAACGCTCTATCTAACGCTCTATCTATCTATCGCTCCATCCATCTATCGCTCCATCCATCTATCGCTCCATCCATCTATCGCTCTATCTATCTATCTATCTATCGCTCTATCTATCTATCTATCTATCGCTCTATCTATCGCTCCATCTATCTATCGCTCTATCTATCGCTCCATCCATCTATCGCTCTATCTATCGCTCCATCCATCTATCGCTCTATCTATCTATCGCTCCATCCATCGCTCCATCTATCTGTCGCTCCATCCATCTATCGCTCTATCTATCTATCGCTCCATCCATCGCTCCATCTATCTGTCGCTCCATCCATCTATCACTCTATTTTATAATATTTTTTGCATAAAGAAAAATGTTTGTTTGTTTGTTTGTGCATGTGACCCCGGCTGGTGTTGTGTGTTCGTGCTGCTCTAGATTCACTCGGGTCGTGATGAATAGCAGAATCTCTCCTGCGTTTCTTTATATTGCCTTCCAAATCTGCGCTTACTTTCATTATTACCTTCTCCGTCCTCGGGGAGCGTTTGAGAGAAAAATAATTTTGCTTATGAAGCTCGCTGCGCTCGTCGTCTGAGAGGTGAAGTGTGTGTGTGTGTGTGTGTGTGTGTGTGAACACAGCGCTGGAAGTGGCCACCTGGAGACCGCATGGATAATTAGTTGATTTGCGGCGTGATCTGCGAAACATCGCTTCTTTTGTTGAGATAGAAAATGAATAGAGTTGTTTCCTGAGATGGATGGTGGTTTGCGTTGAGGAATCCCCCTTAAACAAGTCTAGACGCACTTTATTCTTCATTATTCTTCATATACAGTATTTACAGTTGTATTTAGGGTTCCCTGTTGTGAATGTCAAGATTTTTGTATCGATACATTTCTTTTACGTAATCTGTAGTATTTGTATAGTCTTGTGCATATTTTGTCTCAAATATTTGTTTTCTGTATCTCTGTTATTCACTCCTTTGTGTAACTGACCAGTTTTAATCATTTTTATGGTAACACTTTACAATAAGGTTCATTAGTTAAACATGATCTAATAATGCAGTATTTATTAATCTTTGTTAATGTTAGTTAATAAAAATACAGCTGTTCATTGTTTGTTCATGTTAGTTCACAGTGCATTAACTAATGTTAACTAATACATCCTTTGATTTAAATAACGTATTAGTAAATGTTGAAATTAATATTAACTAAGATTAATAGATGCTGTAGATATTGTTCATTCTTAGTTCATGTTAACTAATGAACCTTATTGTAAAGTGTTACCATTTGTATTATATATATATATATATATATATAAAATGATAACGAAATATATAGTTTTATTTATTTATATATATATATATATATATATATATAAAATAACAAAATGTATAGTACATTTTATATATATATACATGCATACATACATACACATTTATACATATATATATATATATATATATATATATATATATATATATTTTTTTTTTTTATTATAATTTTAAAAAAGTCACTTATTTTGATTTTTGCTCACTGTTGGAAGAGCTGATTGGTTGTCTTAGCTGATCATTGTGTATGTTAAAACGATATCAAAACAACAATAAAAGTTTGATAAAATAAAGCAAGCAGTCTAGACGCAGGTCGAGTGTTTACTCCGGGTCGGACTGTCTTGGACGGGCTGTTGAGTGTTAATGATGCGGCACATCTTCTGTTTCCACACACACACACACACACACACACACCTGCACATGACCAGTGCAAACGGAGGATAAAGCGCGTCTTATGTAAGTGTTGTTGCTGAAAACATGGATTTGCACCAGTTCCTCTGCGCTGTTAAAGGTTTCTTTCTGCTCTTGAACACTGGTTAGAAATCGCTCCTGGCGTCGTCTTTCTCCACATCCTACAAGCTAACGCTTTTCTCAAGTGAGGGAATATATTTAGCGGTGTGGAAGAGGCGTATAGGTGGACTCTGCTGGGTCAGCACATTGAGAAAGGAAGTGAAACTTGAACATTCATCCTTTTTCTCTTGTAGCAACAGTGGGCCGGTCCCACTACTAACAGGAGATGTGCTATTACTGGGAGAGAGTGTGTGTCTGCACCCGTTAGGCAAGAGGCACACACACCATTAAATAGCAGTTTACAATGTATTGTGTGTGTGTGTACTAGGCAGTAAGGATATACTAGGATTGTCATGATACCAACTGACACCACTAAGTATTTTTAAATATATTTATTATTTATATTAAATATTTAATTTTAAATGTTTATAATTTTATTTATATTAATTTCTAGTTTTGTAATAAGTACAAGCAGTAGGACAAATGAAAACAGTTATTTTTAATATATTTACTCTAATTTATATTTTTATTTTTTTATAGATTGTTTTTTTATTTATTTAGTTTTTGTTCTTATTTATTTGAATGATTTTGAGGTTTTTTTATACACTTGAAAACCGTTGTTTATATATTCAATTAATTTGTTTTATTTAGTTAATTTTGTTTTTGTTTATCTACATTTTTGTTTTATTGATTTTGAGTTTTTTTTTATAATCCACAAAAATACAAACAGTTGGACAAATGAAAACTGTTATTATTCATATATTTAATTTATTTCTATTTAGTTAATTGTTTACTTTTTTTATAATCCACAAAAATACAAACAGTTGGACAAATGAAAACTGTCATTATTCATATATTTAATTTATTTAGTTAAAAAAAAAAATTATAATCCACAAAAATACAAGCATTTGGACAAATAAATTAAATATATGAATAATAACGGTTTTCATTTTTTAATATATTTTTTTAATAATCCACAAAAATACAAGCAGTTGGACAAATGAGAACAATAGAACAAAGACACCAATGAAGTGAACAGTGCTTGAAGTGCTTAAATATTGGAACGGGCCCAAACAGGAAGTGAAGTCAGCCATCCACGGCTCATGGACTCTCTGGGCGCTGGGCGGCTGGGATTAATACACACTCATTAATATCTGCTTTACTTCCTAGTTAATGGACGATTCTCCGCCTCTTCTGGATCGGCAGCAAGGGCGCTTAAATTAATATTCAAATGAGCATCTGCATTATTCAGTCCTACCTTTGTAGTGGCACAGGGCAGTCACACACACACACACACACACACACACACACCTGTTCACCAACAGTAGACTGAGACTTCCTCATCCTCTCTCCTTCTTTACACTGTCCCTGTATCACTTTTCAGGATTTCATTGTACTTTTAATGCGAGTGGTTTTGTTTTGCTTTGCTTTGTTTGTTGTTTTGTTTATATTAATGTATATTATATTTTATATTTGTTTTGTTTATTTTTAATTTTATTTATATATATATATAATATATATAAAATATATAAAATTATATATATATATATATATATATATATATATAATTATTTAAATAGATAAATATTTATTTATTTATTTATATTTTATATATTATTTTATATTTATTTATTTAAATATTTTTTCACAAATTCTTTATAATTATTTTTTTATTTTATATTTAATATTTAATATTTGTATTTGATTCACTGGGAAAATTGATCAGTTTGAAAAAAATAAAGCCTAATCATTTAAAATGCTAAGTTTAAAAGCACACAGTCAGAAAACATTGTAAGTTTGTTGTATTTTTGCTCATCTGCTAAAGAGAAAACCGTGCGCTCAGTTGAAACAACTACATCACACACAACCAGAGCAAACTGAACATGTGTCTGGAGTTTGATGGATGCATTAACACTCAATCCAGCATAAATGAACTCTTTCCTTCTCTGTGTCTCAGGTTTCCATCTCAGCGGCACCGTAACAGAACCGGCCACGTCGTCCGAACCCGAGATGGTGTGTAGCGTCGCCATCAGCTTCGACCGCTGCAAGATCACCTCTGTGACGTGCGGATGCGGGAACAAGGACATCTTCTACTGCGCACACGTGGTGGCGCTCTCCCTGTACCGCGTACGGAGGCCCGAGCAGGTCAAACTTCACCTGCCCATCTCAGAGACTCTCTTCCAGATGAACAGGGACCAGTTGCAGAAGTTTGTGCAGTATCTCATCACCGTCCACCACACCGAGGTTCTGCCCACGGCACAGAAGCTGGCCGACGAGATCCTCTCGCAGAACTCGGAGATCAACCAAGTCCACGGTGAGACCCGCTTCAAGAGCGCTTCACGTCACATCCCTACAATCTCACTATTTTTTATTTTATTTTATTTTTCAATCTACTAGAGGAAAACTGGACGGTTTTAAAAAATAAAGCCTAATTATTTAAAATGCAGAGTTTCATGGGAGGGGCTATTTTCTGTATTTGTAGCATATTTTTATTTCTACGGGCATTTTATTTATTTATTTATTTAAATGTTGCATCCTCTGTCTGATTCCT